AGTTGGAGTTGGGCTTCCTGTTTTAACGTTGCAAACATGGCGGACGAAGATGGACAAAAACTTGGTACCCTTTTTGACCGTGAAATAGAAGGAGAATACGGCACTCTTGTCATAAAACAGGCGGAGGTCGGTGATGTTGGATGCGTGGTATGGGATGCTGCCATTGTTTTAGAGAAATATTTAGAAACTGAAGGATTTCAAAGTAAATATACTTTGAAAGGKAGRCGAGYAATTGAACTTGGTGCAGGAACCGGCTTAGTTGGTCTTGTTGCAGCAGTTCTAGGGTGAGTTTCAATATATCAAAAGAATATATTAAATGTCACAAGAATATGTTGAGTTTCTTCTGATACAAAGGCGAGAACTTTGATCAAGACCTCGGGCCTCAGTTTTAAAGGCCATCTTCCAGTATAAAAGGCCTATTTAAAAAAAACTAAAAAGCTAAACGTTRGAGCAAACTAAATACTAACAAATAGCGGCTATTTAGAGACAGTTTGTCAGTATCAGTGAACCAGAACGCAATAAATATGAACAAAAAATGATCCCATGTGGATTTATCTTCATTGTGTTCTAGTTCATTTATACTGACAAATTGTCTCTACATGTAGATAGCCGCTATTTGTTAGTATTTAGTTTGATTTTATTTCATGGTTTTCTTGCGTTCGCTCTATAACATTGTTCTCCTCAAATTATAACTGCGTATACACTTGAAGTAGTAGTCTACAGGTAGTTTTGAAGGCCTCACACACTACTATACTATTTAATACTATTACATCATTGAATTAGGCCTTTTGAATGAAATGGTTACAAAATCCGCCATACTGGATACCAAAATACCCACTAGGATGTGCAAAACAAAGAAAATTCAAGCTTGAAGGGCTGGTGTTCCTTTTGTTTTTGAGGTTGTTTACATTCTTTTGCCATCCAGTATGGTGGATTTAGTTAAGCATGTGACTGTTTCATGTAAAAGGCCTATTGCCCTATCACATAATTGACGTCACAGTATTGTATCAATACTTGATCATGTATATTTTCTTTTGAAAGTGTTTTTGTCTCTCTTTGACCACCATAATACTTAGCTTTAAATCCTTAGAATGTTTTGCTTTGATGTTATTATATTGTATTATCCCATTTTTTACAATGATCCCCACAAAAATAGGTTAAACCTTGTCCCAGGCAATCCCTTTGCTCAGCGTCTCCAGAGGGCACTAAATGCATGCTCCCCCAAAAAAAGATATATATGTAACTTGACTGATAATGGTGGCACTGTTTGCTTTATCTAGTGCAGACGTTATTTGTACAGACCTTCCTGAGATTGTCCCTCTGATCCAACTCAATAAAACTACAAACAAGCATTTGATAAGTGGTTCCTTTGATGTCATGACCCTAAAATGGTAAGTGAGTTGTAATATCAAGATGACTATNATCTTAACATTCATCTTAAACAACCTTATATGTACATGTGTGCACGAAAGACCCGAATTTGTAAAAAAAAAACGTTTTAAGTTCAATGGTTAAAATCAATAGCATAATGTAATGATATACAATGATCAAATATCGTCTTCGTCCTCATCTTCAGTGTAGGCCATGAGTACATCGTCATCGTCATGTTCGAGGCTATCAGCATTGTTGTCGCAGGTATCGCCTGATTCAGAGAATTTATACAAGCCCGTGCAAACCAATCCAGCTTTTTGGCATTGGCAATGATTTGTTGAGCATCTTGTTTTGGTACAGCCACACTTTATCAGGTGTATGCTTGCCTCTGGTGCTGGAGGTAGTTTAGACATCACAGGCGACCACTCGTAATCATTCAGCTCCCATCCGTTGTCCTGTGGTGATGGTAAAGATGGGTTAGCTTCTAAAAGAGCGGATTGTGTTGGGGGAAGGCTCTCAGATTGCGCCAGAAGCAGTAGTAATTCGATAGGAAATTGCTGGTTGTTGGCCTTGTCTTCTAGTGCGAGTACCCATCTTTAGAGATAATGGTATATATTCAACAGCTTGGCTGTAAAGTGGTCAGCTAGATCAGAACAGTCCTTCACACGATCTGCCTTCTTTAGTGATTGCACTTCGACCATACCATCCACAATTTCAACTAGCACTATTTGACGTCCTATCGAATTACTGATTCCACGAACATCTCAAAAGTCACAATGAAGAAGGTATTGGCTCAAGTCAACACTAAGATGGAACTTTCCTGCTATCTTGCAAGGACAGTTGAATGRAAAGCATGTAGTTGTTGCGTGGTCTAACAAGTATCAAGCTTCCCACAAGGATATGACTCATATTCAAAGTGTACAAGAAGAGACAGACACCAAACTGATATTACTCGGAATAGATGCTACAGCTTCTGRCGCAACTACCGTTGGAATCAACTCTCCAGACACTGACGTTCTAGTGCTTGCATTAAGGCGGTATCCGCAGCTTTGTGATGACACAACAAAGACCCAGAACGGTACCACTAAAGGCCATCTTTACAGCTCTTGGAGAAGAAAAGGCAGCGGCTTTGCTAGGATTCCATGCAATGTCCGGGGCTGATAACACTGGAAGTTTTTACGGCAAAGGGAAAACCACCTGCTAGAAAGCATTCTGTCAGAGTACCGGAGATGTCTTAGCTGCTTTTACAGAGCTAGGGACAACCCTTAATGTGTCAGAAGCAGCACAAGCTGGCGTTGAAAAATACGTCTGTAATCTTTATCTCCCGAAAACAAGGACGTCCAGTGGTGGCTATTCAAGAATAAGCAGGCGCAATCTGAGAGTCTTCCCCCAACACAATCCGCTCTTTTAGATGCTATCAAAAGGGCTCACTACCAATGTCTACTTTACCATCTTTACAATCACCACAGGACTACGGATGGGAGCTGAATGATTACGAGTGGTCGCCTGTGATGTCTAAACTACCTCCAGCACCAGAGGCAAGCATACACCTGATAAAGTGTGGCTGTACCAAAACAAGATGCTCAACAAATCATTGCCAATGCCAAAAAGCTGGATTGGTTTGCACGGGCTTGTATAAATTCTCTGAATCAGGCGATACCTGCGACAACAATGCTGATAGCCTCGAACNCAAACAAGCATTTGATAAGTGGTTCCTTTGATGTCATGACCCTAAAATGGTAAGTGAGTTGTAATATCAAGATGACTATAATTACATCTATGTTATATTAAAAAGAAAGAAAAAAAAAAGTGATTGAGACAAGATTTGAACCTCGATCCTCTGTTCGACGCCACTGCTCCAGTATCGATTATCTTCAGTGAATCTGGTAGAATGTGGGAAAAAATGGAAAATAGTGTGATTCGGTGCGATTTGAGGTAAATAGTGCGGGATCGCACCGTCGCACTCTACCAGATTCACTGCATCTTGTTTCTAAGATTTAACAAATGCAGCTCGTAAATATTAATAAAACAAATCATATTTGTAGATAAGTAATATTCAACATTGTATTCCCTCCATGACATGGATAACAATGTGAGATGAAAAAATCAACATCACATGCATGCATAATTAAATTCCAGACCTGTGATTTGGAAATTTTTGTCCAGGGTTCGCAAAGTCTTGAAAAGTCCTTGATTTTTGAGCTAGGTCCTTGAAAAGTCCTTAAATGCAAATTTTCCTTGAAAAGTCCTCGAATTTTGAGGAAAGGTCCTTGAAAATGATAATTTAGTCCTTGAATCAGTTTTGGTTGTTGTGAAGTAATGTTTTAGAGATCAATTTTGCCAAGCTTTGTAGCAAATTGATAATATTTCAATCCTTTTGGCAATGTCTGTTGTACTATTGTGCAATACGACGGCAAAGAAATTAATAGAGATTGAGAAAAATATGTTCCAAGAGATAAAGTTCTTAAACAAAGTTCTTAAACTACAATGTTTTTATTGTTCTATTTGGTAAGACACAGGACTAGTAAGTTTATTAACTGTATCTTTCTCTTTGTAAGTGGTGTCCTTGAAAATTGAAAATTAATCCTCAAAAAGTCCTTGAAAAGTCCTTGAATTTTATATGWAAAAATCTGTACGAACCCTGTTGTCATACGTTATGTGTCACTTCTTCCAATCACAAAGGCGTTCAAATCTCGAATTTGCCAGCTCATTGATTTTTACCCACAAGCCAGTACGGGCCAGTCCCATTTCTTGAAACCCAATCGTCAACAACCTTTTGTCAATCGACTATAGCTATGTTGCTTTGCAGGTTTCAAGGATGTTTTTGTTTTTATAGGGGTGATGACATCTCCAGTCTGTGCCCTCCATTGGACTTTGTTTTAATAGCTGACTGTATATATTATGAACAGGTAAATGAATAATAAATGAACAATTGAACAAAACAACAACACCAAACAAACAAAAAAATATCTAACCTCATACTTGTGAAGATTTAGAATAGTGAGATAGCCAATCAGAGGGGAGTATTTTGGTTATAAATCAGTTGTTTTCTTTTGATCTTTATAAACATGTGTGCAAATAGGTATGCAGTGACACCATTTTGTACAGCAAAGCATAATAATGAGAGTTGTAGTTGTCACACATCTATTAYGGACCCTAAAACAGGGGCGGATCCAGCTGGTGGGTGYAGGGGGTGCGCACCACCTCCTGAGATCTGTATCCTTCAATAATTTCCTTATTTATTTTTGTAGATCTTCATGGTAATGATTTTTGTCAGGGGTGC